TATTTTTCTAGGTATAATAAATGTACAAGCATGTACACACTTTTAAAAACATGAACTTGAAAAAAGAAAACATGAACATGACAATCATATACAAATTGTTCTGTCTCCTGCCCTTCTCACTTAACAAAAAACACTCCTACATCTTTTGAAGATCGGACTGTTATCCCAAGACAGTCCACAAGAGCCTGACTTGCGGTAGGTATTAAATAATTTGTTTCATGTTTCTAAAGATCATAAAATTCTTCATTTTGAATACCCTCAAGATAGTCACATAAAGCCAAAGAATGAAAACATACTAATTCCCCAAAACATCAACAGTTGATTAAATTACTATATTCTTTCTGGAATACTATGAAGACATTAAAAACAAAGTTTGCAGTGAAGAGTTGTTAAAACATGATATACTCCGGCTGTCACAGTGAGTGAAGAAAGCACAACACAACCATGTAAACACACACACATCCTTTGATCAAAGTCTGGAAAGAAATCAAAATGTTGACTATGGTTGCCTTGGGGCAATCAAAAAATATTCTTCATTTCTAAATTTATTAAAATATATATTAATATTATATATTTTATATAATGAGAAAACAAGCATTGATGATGACCATCTTTTTTTTTGAGACAGAGTTTTACTCTGTGGTCCTGGGTAGAGTGACGTGGCACCACCACAGCTCACAACAATCCTCTTGCCTCAGCCTCCCAAGCAGATGGAACTACAGGCACCTGCCACCATGCTTGGCTAATTTTTTTATTTTAGGAAAGACAGGATGGCATTTTTGCTCAGGCTGGTCTTCACGCCTGAGCTCAAGCAATAGACCTGGCTCTGCCTCTACCGCCCAGCGTGCTAGGATTACAGGTGTGAGCCACTACACCCAGCTCATTTTTTTTTTTTTTTTGAGACAGAGTCTCACTTTATTGCTCTTGATAGAGTGCTATGACATCACAGCTCACAGCAACCTCAAATGATTCTCTTGTCTCAGACTCCCAAGTAGTGGGGACTACAGGCACCCATCCCACGGCCTAGCTTTTTTTTTTTTTGAGACACAGCCTCAAGCTGTTGCCCTGGGTAGAGTGCCTTGGGATCACAGCTCACAGCAACCTCCAACTCCTAGGCTCAAACAATTCTCTTGCCACCACCTCCCAAGTAGCTATGACTACAGGTGCCTACCACAATGCCTGGCTATTTTTTGGTTGCAGCTGTCACTGTTGTTTGGCAGGCCTGGGCTGGATAAGAACCAGCCAGCTCAAGTGTATGTGACTGGCGCCTTAACCACTTGAGCCACAGGCGCCGAGGCAGCCCAGCTACTTTTAAAGATGAAGTCTTGCTCTGGTTTAGGCTGATCTTGAAACTGTGAGCTCAGGCAATCTACCCACCTCAGTCTCCCAGGTGCTGGGATTACATGAGTGAGCCACTGTGACCAGCCTCATCGTTTTTGTTTTTTTTTTTTTTTTTACTCAAAAAGAACAGCAGCTAGAGAAATGGGTCTACTTTCTTTAAGAGTTTCAGGACAAAACAAAACATCATGTCTTTAAAATATACACCTCATGCTTCATTACCTGATTACAAAGGTACTGGCCCAGGCCAGGTCTAGCAGCAGCACTAAGATATATTACAGGTTTTTTGTTATATAACACGTTGAATCCATCCACTACAAAGTCTTCATAATGAGAATGAATGGCAAGTCTACAGATCTTCGCAAGTCCTTCTCTTTCTTCTTCATGGAAATAAGCACAGCCATTTTCATACCTGTTAAGAGATACCCAATAATATGCTCTTATTTCTTGTTGATTCTGATCTAATATGCCAATCTTATAATCATGGAAGCAATTCTTTCCTCAAGCTAGAAATTGTCACCTAGATCCAGGAGAGAGGACAGGAATACAAAAAATTCTCATCTTAGATGACTAACAACTAATTTGTTATGAAGGAGTCAGACAGTGACCCCTTCCATCCATACCCAATTTTGTAAAGAGATGCTATGTAAACTAGTACAGATTAGGAGTCCCTCAAATATAAGAAGCCTGAAGATCATGGTTCTCATTTATCCTACACTAAGGCCAGCACTGAATAATGCAGGCATGGTTAATGATTAGACAGCATTCACACTGTATTAGGTATTATATGTAACCTAGAGATGAGTTTTGGGAAGATGTTCATAAGTTACATGCAAATACTATGACATTTTATCTAACAGATTTGAACATCCAGGAACTTTGGTATCCATGAGAGGGTCCTGGAATTTGAAATCAGATCACTGCTCTAACTTCTATTAACATGTCCCAGTTAGAACCCCTAAAAATAACTGCTGACACTATCACACACAAGTGGTTATATTCTTATCTCTTTACATATACTAACCTATTAGCTTATTCAATCCTCACAAGTCCATGAAATAGATATTAATGCTATCTCTATTTAATAAATGACAAAATTAAAGTAGGCAGAGGTTAAGCAACCCTTCAAAGATGAGGCAGCAAATCTGAACCCAAGTAGTATAGTTCTAGAAACAAGACCTCTCACAGTCTATACCCAACTCATAAATGTCTTCACCCGAAACTAAAAACTCATCACACCTTTACCTGAAAATTCTGCATAGCCATAAGGTGGTATCTGAAAGTATCCTAGTTGTAAGTTTTCTTAGCTTCTCTTTGTCCAGAGTTGAAATATAAGCTCCCAAACTATGCCCCAACAAAGCCATGTGACCTTGTTCTCCAATACTCTGGACTCTGTTAAGCAAAACGTATTAAAGAAAGTATTAGAGTCAAAGCATAAAAAAAGACATACATCTTAGGGACACAGTATTCCACAGAAATTTCTGTTGGAATTCAAATTCGTTTAAGGGCCAACAAGGCAGAAATTCAGATAAATTGAGAAAGTTCAACGCATATGAAGTATTGATTGTTTGGGGAGGAAAATAGTTTTAAAATTCAAGTCCCAAGAGATAAACACCCCTTGTTTTTTTCGTTTTTGGTTGGGTTTTTTTTTTTTTTTGCCTCCTTATAACCATGAATTACCTGTCTTTTTACTTAGCATCTACAAACTGTTTTTGAATAACTGCCTGCTACAATATTTTTAAATTAAATACTAGCTTTAAAAACTATGGAAGGCAGAGCTAAAATAAAATGAGCAGAAAACTTTTTTTATTTTTTGCAGTTTTTGGCCGGGGCTGGGTTTGAACCTGCTACCTCCAGCATGTGGGGCCAGTGCCTTACTCCTTTGAGCCACAGGTGCTGCCCAAGCAGAAAACATTTTTTAAGGTATTATTAAAGATCAATTCCCTGCACGAAATAGCTATTTATAACTGCAAATTCAAGGGGGACTATGTATTACTTTATATATAATTAAAACAGATGGACTCATTTCCCTTACAAAGGATGAATATAAATAATAAGTTTACAACTGTTAACTGTAAACAAAAAGAAAAAGACAACCAAACAGGATTGTGGGCAAAAGATAATTCATAGAAAGGGAAATACAAATGAATCTTTTTTTTTTTTTTTTTTTTTGAGACAGTCTCACTTTGTTGCCCTTGGTAGAGTGCCGAGGCATCACAGCTTACAGCAACCTCAAACTCTTGAATTCAAGTGATCCTCTTGCCTCAACTCCCCAGGTAGCTGGGACTACAGGTGCCTGCCACATATAAATGAGTCTTAAAACATATAAAAAGACATTTAACCTGGTTCATCATAAGAAAAATGCAAATTTAAATTATGCTGAAATAACATTTCTATCTTATCACATTTCTCATTTATCATTTATTAATCATTTATCTTTGAGTCTGACAAAACCGTTACAGGCAACAGGTGTGGGAAATGAAGCATTCTCATACATTGCTGGTAACAACTCCATGAAGGGAAATGTGGTACTATATATCGAATAATATATAATTACAGAAGTACACACTATCTGAGCCAGCAATCCCATTTGAGGATTTCAATCTCCAGACACATTTGCTTCTACGAAAAATGATACACTGAAAGTTATTGGCTATAGCAATGTTTCTAACAGTTAAAATGAACAGGAGACTAAAATTCATCTGTTCAAAGTAAAACTAAACAGCTTTTTAAAAGAATTTTTATTTTTTTAGAAACAAATCTCAACTCTGTCACTCAGGCTGGAGTACAGTGGCACATCCATAGCTCACAGTAACTTCAAACTCAGTAGTTGGGACTACAGGCGTATGCCACCATGCTTATAGTCCCAGCTATAGGGACGTTCAAATTTTTTATAGAGATGAGTGAGATCTTGCTATGTTGCTCGGGCTGATCTCAAACTCCTGGCCCTAAGAGATTTTCCTACCACAGCTTCTCAAAGTGCTGGGATGATAGGTGTGAGCCAACACACCTGGCCTAAACGGTGGTTAAAAAGGAGAAAGCCCAAAGGCCAGGCGAGGTGGTTCATGCCTCTAATCCAAGCACTCTGGGAGGCATGGCTTGCTTGAGGCAGAGCAAGACCCCATCTCTAAAATAGCTGGGCATTGGAGTAGCTATAGTCCCAGCTACTCCAGAGGCTGAGGCAAGAGAATCACTTGAGCTCAAGAGTTTGAGGTTGGGCTCAGCAGCTAGGGCGCCAGCCACATACACTACAGCTAATAGGTTCAAATCCAGCGTGGGCCTGCAAAACAACAACTACAACCAAAAAAAAAAAAATAGCCAGGCATTGTGGTGGGTGCCTGCAGTCCCAGTTCCTTGGGAGGCTGAGGCAAGAGAATCGCTTAAGCCCAAGAGTTCGAGGTTGCTGTGAGGCCACGGCACTCTACCCAGGGCAACACAGTGAGACTCTCTCTTAAAAGGAAAAAAAAAAAAGAATTTGAGGTTGCTGTGAGCTATGACGCCATAGCACTCTACCCAGGATGAGAAACTGAGACTTTGTCTCAAAAAAAAAAAAAAATGGAGAAAGCCCCTGGGAAATACATAGTCAAGGCATCTGGATAGTATGTATTAGAAGGTGGGCACGCACATTTTGTTTGTGTATACACACACATAAAACATCTCTAGAATACACCAGAAACTGGTAAAACAATATCTAGGGAAGAGAATCAAGTAGGGAGGCAGAGGTAGGAAGGAAAATGATCTTCATATACATTCATATGTATACTTCATATACATTTTTTACCTGTTGAATTTTGAACCAGGAGAGCACATTACTTATTCCAAAAAATTAAATTTTTAAAAAGTTAAAGAAAAAAAACAACAGCCAGCCCATTCAGCTATAGCAAATTCTTAGCAACCAGAAGCACCAAAGCAGAAAAACACACAGAACTTATTTTTCAGTTCTTTTACCAGCCCCCTCTAAGACATGATAAGGCATGATGTTATAAAAACAACAGATCTAGGTTCAGCGCCTGTAGCTCAGCAGCTAGGGTGCCAGCCAAATACACCAGAGCTGGCAGTTCAGACCCAGCCCAGGCCTGCCTAACAGTGACAACTACAATCAAAAAATAGACAGGTGTTGTAGTGGGCGCCTGCAGTCCCAGCTACTTGGGAGGCTGAGGCAAGAAAATCACTTAAGCCCAAGAGTTTGAGGTTGCTGTGAGCTATGACGCTATAGCCCTCTACTAAGGGTGACATAGTGACTCTCTGTCTCAAACAAACAAACAAAAAAAAAAACCTAGGATCTAATTTTAGTAAACATTTTGCTTCTACAAAATAAGTTATACATATAAAAGTCTTTCTGAAAAGAAAAAAAAGAACATTATCTTAATATCATATGTAACACTTAATAAGATGTAGTTTCTTAAGTAAGCGACCTATCAGGATATAATCACTACTGAAATCAACATCACAGACTTTCAGACAGAAGCTGCCAAGTTCTCCATTACCGGGCACTTTGGGGTTCCTCATCTTCATCTCCATGCATCAGATTCTGAACTAGCTGGAGGATGCTCACCATATCTTGTCCACTGCAGAAGAGAAAGAGTTAATTGACAGGCAGAAAGAGCACACATCCCCACCATTCTCCCACTTTTTCTCTCATCCCACTTAGCTTTGGTAAGTTTTGCGTTTTTTTTTTTTTTTTTTTTAAGAGACAGAGTCTCACCTTGCCGCCCTCGGTAGAGTGCTGTGGCATCACAGTTCACAGCAACCTCCAGCTCTTGGGCTTAGGCGATTCTCTTGCCTCAGCCTCCCAAGTAGCTGGGACTACAGGCGCCTGCCACAGTGTCTGGTTATTTTTTTGTTGCAGCTTGGCCAGGGCTGGGTTTGAACCTGCTACCTTTAGTATATGGGGCTGGTGCCCTACTTACTGAGCCACAGGCACTGCTCAGTTTTGCTTATTTTTTATTTATTTATATACTAGTGTATCTAGTTGTCCTCCATGTAGGAATCTTCTGTTTACACTAATAACCTTAAACATATAACACAAACATCATTTATTACCACTTCTTTCCCAAGCTCAGAAATTTGGGATCTGCTTGGAACATAGAGATTTATTTCCACTGCACATGTTTCTAAATGCTCATTATATGAGGAGGTGGACACTTATGAAAAGAATGTGACTAGCTGAAGTAGTAAGCAATGGCAAGGCAACCCTATTATGTATGTGAAAACACTGTCCCTCCATCAGTGAGACTCTGACTAATAAAAAGTTTCCTCTTTCAAAAAACCAGCACTGTGAAAGCAATGCCCCCAAAACCATCCTCCCCAATATGCTGACCTTCAAGTGGAAGGGGCTCTGGTCCTTGAACACTGTAGGGATTAAAGCAGGCAGAGGCCCTTGATACATACTTGGATTCCAGACATGTGACCTTCCTTGAGCAAGCTATTTAAACTTACTAAATCCTGACATTAGAGAACTGTGAGGTTGCAACCAGAGCATGTAAAGCACTTAACGCAGTGCCTGGCACATTGCTAGTTTCAAATGTTAGATATTAGCATCTTTAAGCATGAATACTCCTCATCAGTGGCTTTAATGTGTTGTGCTGAAATTATAGATGTTATGGGGAGTAGCTCTCCTAGGGAAACTTCTGTAGAATCAGGACACTAAACCTTAAATCTTTTTGTTCCCTTCAGCCACGGATGAGGAGAATTCCTACATGGATATACAGAATTTGCTTTCTGTACTAAGTTGTAGAAAGCACTTCATACCTCTATGGCTTCAAATCAGCATCATTTATGTTACAAATAGGAGTTTTTTTTTTTTTTTTTTTGAGACAGAGTCTCACTTTGACGCCATTGGTCAAGTGTTGTGGTGTCATAGCTCATAGCAACCTCAAACTCTTGGGCTCAAGTGATTCTCTTGCCTCAGCCTCCTGAGTAGCCGGGACTACAAGCACCCGCCACAATGCCTGGCTATTTGTTTTTAGAGACAGGTCTTGTTCTTGCTCAGGCTGGTCTCAAACTCCTGAGCTCAAACAATTCACCAGCCTCAGCCTCCAAATAGGAGTGACTTTTAAAGTATCAGTGTCTGGGTGTGTTAGATGAGACATTTACTGGCACACTGTTACCCCTCCTCTATCCTTTTCTTTTGCAACCTTATTCAATTCATATTCAGGTCAAAGGACAACTTAAGGGAGTTTTACTATTTACCTTTTTCAGTTTCCTGGTTATAAAAGAAAAAACAGTTTGTCTCAGGAAGGCTGAGCTAGGACATTAATTCTAGGTGAACGCTAAAATTTTGGTCAGCTACTTATTTTTCCAACCTTTTCCCTGCTAGTTCAAACCACAAAAGCTTGATTGACATGTTTTAGCTGCCAAAAAATAAATCACTCTCCCCATAATATTTAAAACTGACATTTTCCTTTTAGTTACTATATTATCAAAATGATAAATCTTATCAAATTAAAATATCTTTTACTAGCCAGGCATTGTGGTGGGCACCTATAGTCCCAGCTACTCAGGAGGCTGAGGCAAGAGAATCGCCTAAGAGCTGGAGGTAGCTATGACACCACAGCACTCTACCAAGGGTGACAAAATGAGAGTCTGTCCCTAAAAAAAAAAAAACACTTCACAATAAAATTCATCTGCCAAAAAGATTACAGACTTCAAGAATGAAGTATGATATTCCAGCTATAAATTCACATATCACTTTTATGTTATCAGGCGTTAACTCTGAATGAGAAAGGGAGAGAAGCTAGTAGGCTCAACATCACCAATCAGCAAATGGTGTTTGAGTTTTCTTATGTTACACTACACATGACTCTATTTAAATTTGCTTTGTCCTCATTAAAACTAACATTGTAAATCAAGAATAGTAAAACTGTTAAGAAAAATTTATATATTAACTAAAGGTACTAACCCTTATTGCCACCTACCTGCCCTGGAGTGGTCCTGGAATATCCCCTGATTTGACCTTGTTTCCATTTGCTTCCTCTGTTCTTCTAATAAAAAAGAAAGAAAAATTATTCATTTGTTTTATCATATCAAATTTCTCACATCTGAACATGCATACATGTGACCATGTTGCCTGTAACTTTAAATGACTGATACCAAATTTGAAACATTTATCACATTTCCCTGTCCCCAGTTTTACATATACTTTAGAATTTCTGGAAAAGAAAAGAAGATGAAAAAAACTTCTAGTCAGGTGCAGTGGCTCACACCTATAATCCT